GACACAAGGACTATTACCTTATCATGGATAATCAAAGGCAATGGAGACAAAAGAGATTGGCTCATTTTCATCACTTTGAGTATGAAATGGGCCAATCTACCTTGTGTTCAATATAACGTCCGATTGAACATAACGCAATGCAAATACAACATGCTTATCTCGGCATGTTTTACTTGATTCAATTCTTGTTTACACATTTTAAGTTACCAAATCATTCTTTAATTGATTTGTCCAATGTGAAAGTCTTCTAATGAGAGAGAGGTCAATCAAAAGATGACTTAAGACATGAGAGAGACCATGCCTTTGACTAGGAGGAACCCTCAAAAGAGGGTTAAAGCTATTTAAGCATAAACCTCAATCCCAAGCTTAAACACAACTTTAAGACTAACCATCCCTCAAAACAAATAGAAAAATGAAGAAAAGAGAGAGGTGGCAGAATTTCAGTGCTGAAATGACATGAAACACAAGACTCTAACATGCAAACAACTTATGTACAACATGTTAAGAGATTTAAGCATTAAAACTAGTGAAGAGCTTTACATTAGAACCATGCAATATCAAACTCAAATGGCCAAACCAGCCTTAGACAGACCTCAAACATGCCAAAACAGGGGCTAAAATGTGCTGAGATGGTAGCATGAAAAGCAAGAAAGATATGCTCATGTATTGACTCATAAACAAGGCAAAGGCACAACTCTCAAACACAATAAAAGAGTGAAATATGTGGAAGTGTGGCAGAGGAATATGCTTTGAAATCACATGCTAAATGATGCCAAAACATGCAATCAACATAAGCAAAGCATGCTAAAGGGCCTCAAAACACAAGGCTAGTGAAGCTAACTACACTATAGCTATACAAAGCAAGTCCCAAAGGACCAAAACCACTCAAAACAGAGTTTAAGCATGCCAAAGCAAGGCCAAAAACATGCTGGAGTAGAGCCATCACATGCTAGAATAATAGGTTAAAACATCAAGTATGTTAAGCTAGTAAACATGATTACACTACAAGTGTAAGAAGCAAACAAGAGGTGCTCTAAACAGCCAAAAACAAAGTTATAACATGTTAAAATAAGGCCAAAAACATGCTTGAACTAAGCCATAAAAAGGTAGAAACACATGCTCATATATTAGGCCATCAACACAGGCAAACAAAACACAAGGAGGGGAGGCCACCCCCTCCTATTTTGGACCTCAAAACCAAGTTTCTACCACTGAAATTCCTCTGAGTTTCAGTGGTAGAAAGGCCAAACAAAGGATGTTTCAAAAGCTTAGGAAGTTGGCTCAAAAGGCTTTTCAAGCCAAAGAGCCAAGAGAGGAAACCATCCCCTAACCACACAAGACTCAAACTATCATTTTAACACCTTAAAAATAGAAATTTTTAGTGACTGAAACCAGCTTCAAAGTAGCATACAAAGGTGGCCAAGCAATGAAGTAAAACAAAGCTTAAAAGAGGTAAATCCTTACCTTTGAAGCATATCAACAAATCAGCAAGAATTCCAAGCCAAAACCACTTTAAGAAGCTCAAACAAGGCCTCCAAGAACCTCAGTCCCAAGGTGAAGGTGTTTGGCTAAGGGTGCTAGTGCAAATGTGTAGAGAAAACACACTTTCAAGCCTAAAATATATGGAGAGAGGATTCTAGAGAGAGAGAGAGAGAAATCTTGCTTAGCCAATTTTTTGTAACCCTTTGCATGCATATAGATGAGCTCAATATATAGGAGATACAAGAAGCCTTCAAACAAATCCAGCCATCCACGTGTATGCAGATGAGCTTATTTGTGCAAACAGCTGTCAAAATATCTACAAAAATATCTATTGATGCATTGGTGGCCGGCCGGCCATCAGTGATGGCCGGCAGGGCCTATCAATGGCCAGCAGGGCAAAGCCTATGGTCGGCAGCCCTCAATGATGGCCGGCAGGCCATCAAGAACATCACTATGCAAAGACTAACACATGGTCCAAATATGAGACAGAATAGAAATTGGGTTTGGAAAGATCAAACTTGGAGCATTCCGTCGCGAAAGTCGAGTACTCGACGAGCAATCAAACTTGTTACTGAATGTACCCTGCAAGAACATCCAAGTCTTGAGGACGGTAAAAAATGGGGTGTCTACAATAGAATGTGTGTGATTTTGTTTTGTGTATATTTGTTTGGTATTGATTTTGTAGGTGAGATGAATAGAAGCCATAAAACTGAAATGGTGAATGAAAATCACTCAACCGAAAACTGCCTGCCAAACTAGACATCCGATGTGCACGGTTTCAATCATTACCTCGGGCGAAATTGGATGAACATTTCTCTACTCGAAGCAGGCCGGTTCGAGTGATGGTTCTATGATAAAACTAAGCTGACTCGACCTGTGCACACCCCTAGTTAAAATTGATACATAATCACAAATAAACATCTTGGATATTTTTAGATTTTTCACTCTGGAAAATAAATTTAAAATTCTATTTTAAAAGCAACTTGCAATGGACCAAAAAAATAAAAATAAAAATAAATATAAAATAAATAAAAAGCTCCCTATACATACCATTGCTAGACTATGATACAAACCAGGGAATCTAATACATATTTTGGGATTCACAACATCCTAATATGTACTTGTTTTTCCAAGGACTATCATCTAGGGAAAAATCTATTGGGATACACACAATCTCCTAGTCTTTTCATGTCCACTTGTTCTTTTGTTAATAGTATAAGCCGTAGTGTGCAATCTCATGAGATTTTGCTGAAATATGAAAATCATGCATCAAATTTGGAAATATATTCCCACAAGCAACCTCTATTGGAAAATAATGATTTTTTGGTGACTTTAATATAATATTAAGGAGGGTGTCAATTCTCAATTGAGGTAGATTATAGGGAGTTTAGATTCTTTGTAGTGATCTCTTTACACCACAAAAAGAATGACCAAAATCATTAAGATTTGAATAAGAAATTGACTCATTAAGTTGACTTCATGAAAAAGGTGTTGGGAAATGTGTAAATCTTCTATCCCACATTGATTGTAGATGAGAGCATTGATAAGTATTTAAATCCCATTTTTGGCCTAAGGGTGTGAGCCCTTTGGGGGATCCAAATTTTTCGAAAGAAGGAAGTTATGGATGCCTTAAGGATGAACTTGGACCAAAACTATGATCCAAATTGGTTATGCAAAAATTTCCACATGTGTGCGCCGCCCACCCAGACCAAACCGAGTTGGGTCCCGGTCCGTGGGTCGCAAATCTTGGGACTTAGGGCTTACTGGACCGGATTAAGTATGGGGGTTGGGCCCGGTTCTTGGCCCAACCCAAGCCAGTGTTGTGGGTTGCAGAATTATACACATTACGCATGTATAAAATGTGTAACTCCTCTATAATGATGATGAATTAAGCCATCAGTTTTGCACCATTATGTCGAAATTAATCTTGTATTTGTTGCGGGATTCTTTTCCTCTCTCCCTCCATGTGTATAAAAGGAGACCCTTCTCCTTTATTCTTACACACTAGAGAAATTTTCTTCCTTCAATTTTCTATTCTTCATAGTAAGAGTGTTGCTTGATGCTAACATGACAACTACAAGCCCTTCAAAGGCATAATTCAGAGTTAGACTTATATCAGTAAAGCAAAATTACTTCCACAGACTATAAGGATTAGCATTGACACAAGCAAAATATACCTGCATTCCCATTCTCCAAAGATAATACATGTTCAACAGTGCAACTACCTTAGCATCACCAAAAAAGGACATTACTGCTCATTCTTATAAGAGGTAACCATGAGGCTAACATGACAAGTACAAGCGGCTGAAAGGAAGTAGATAAATCAAGGATATTGTTGCATAATTAGAGAATGATTTAGACAAATACACACGCAGAAACTACTACGTTTCCCTTGCTTCTAACAAAATTCATCTGTGGAATGATAGGGAAAATCACCCTAAGCCTTCAGCGGCACACACTGTTGAGCATGCAGTGCATCCTATCAATTGAATTTTATCTTTTGATCCCTTTTTTTTTTATCAGTATCGATTTCTCTGTTAACTAGCCTTCACGCCATCCTTGTTTCAGTTACCCAGTTTTTCAAAATCCTCAAAAAGTGGAATATAAAGGAAATTCCCACCATATTACTTCACAGGAAAACAAAGCCAAAATTTAAATAGTTGGGTTTTTGAAAAAACAGAAATGTGACATGGCTTCAGAATAAAGGGGTGTTCCATTTATACAATAGTATATATGAAGTTCACAAACGTAAGCAAACCAAAATATATTTACTTGAGAAACAGTTTACTTCACTAAGAGCGAATGTCATTCAGTAAGGATAAATTACCAGCTTGGGATTGATCCTCATAGAATATGAATCACTTGTTTGGCTTAGATGCTACTGTTCTGTGTTGGGACAGCGGAAGCGTGAATGGATGAAAGATATAAATCAAAAAGGTTGTGGATGAAAACAAGAGTGAAAAACTATATTGAAGTGCTGTAGATTTTCATTAAATAAGGGGCTGAATTACAGATTAGAAAAAATACTTGAAAAACATATACATAAACTCCCAAATTTGATTCGGAAAGTTGCCTCTGTTTTTGCTGCTACACCTTTTGCTGCTGCATAACGGATTGTTTGAGATCTTTGGGATGTTTTTCTGATGGCTCAAACTGCAGGAACATCAACGCCACTATTTTATACTTGCAAGTAAATGCTCCAGAAAATTCTACTCATTAACTTTTGCCTTCTTCTAAGCACTAGGGAGATGAAACCATCACCTAGAACTTAATTTCCTTGGCAGACATTTCCAAAGAGTAGACTTCCAGAATATTCATCAAATTATCTTCATAGAAATTACAAATTATCAGTAGAAATACCATCCACAAACTTTGTCCGAAAAAGAACATTGGCATTATTGAACATGCCTTCTTTCAAAGAAACCACAATGGACTGCAGAACGATATAACAAAGAGAATAATGAAAAAATGGTCATAACAAAAGAGGAAAATTGGCTGACATTATCACGAATCAGTTACTAATTTTTTTGAACTCTGTGATAATTAGTGACTGAAATAGCTGTTTTATTAACCTCTAGAAGCAAGATTGTAGACTTACTAGTGAATATTTTCTACTTCTGATAGCAGTAAAAACATTTTTGAACAAGTTGAATACATTCATAAAGAAACGAGAGTAAGAGGATGTTATCCATCAACATTCCCCATAGGAAATATCTTGGTTGAGAAATACTTAAACATAATTTAATAGACCATTAAGGGTGCAAGAAGAGCTGTAAATTAGGTTTGTACCCAATCTATCCACAACTAGCTAAACCATTTTGGGAAGAACTACTAAACTTTCAATTGTTTGAGAACTGACCGCAAGTTCATAGATTAATAAAAAAATATAGAAATAAAAGTAGAGAACATCAGTGACCACAAGAATGCAAATCAAACCTGTGAATGTGGAAACTGAGTTTTGATCATTCTTCTAATATTCTGGGTGTGACTTAGATCAAGGGCTGCATCAACCTATCAAATAACAGTAGAAACAACAAAATTGAAGATGAGAGGGAGAGTGAGGATAAAATAAAGATGTCATATGTCACAGCAAATCAAACTCATCTAATAGCAAAATAACATGCATCTCTTATAGAGTGAACATATTAGAGATGAGACATGTCAACCACTCTTTCAAGGAACTAAACAAGTTATGTACCTCATCCAGGATATAAAGTGGAGCTGGTTTAAACAGAAGCAGTGCTAGAATTAGAGAAAGTGCAAGTAACGATCTTTGTCCACCGCTAAGTTCTGACAAGGACTGTTTCCAAACACTTCCAAATGCAACACAAACCTCAAGACCATCTAAGAAGCTACTTCCCTCAGGAGTTTCTAGTTTCGCCATTGTGCCAGGTAATAGTGTGAAAATATGGATCCAAAATCACTAAGAGAAGTACAAATTCTTAAAGAGTAAGTATAGGGTTTTGGTACTTTCAAAGGCTAGAAGAAACATATGAAAACTGTTGACATAAACTACTAGTTTTAACTTGTTAACCTTAACCCAAGTAACTTTCAGCGTTTCTTTCTTCTTTTCATCAAGTTCCGCAATCACCATATTGATTTTTGTCTTGTCATTCTATGCAAGACGAAGTCAGGACAAGTAAAGAGATTTTGGTACAATGAAGTTATAACAATTAAACAGTTACAAACCTTAATAACGTTCTTCTTTGATATTAAATGATTGTACTCATATTCTGATTTCTCAAACATTTCCATAACTTTCTTATTAACTTGTTTCTCAAGGCTAAAAGAAATGACAAAAATATGTGTTAAGAACTCCTGCTTGATTCATGGATGACAATGACAATTTGTACATATGAACATGGTCAAAAAATGTTGATGATAGTGTAAAAGCAGCAGATTTTGTCAGACACACACCCTGATTGCTTTAGCTTGTAGCTTTTCAAAATCTTTCCTTGCTGTATGAGGATCACAAGATGCAAAATCAAAATCTGTCCCACTTCTTCCAAATCGGTGTTTCTCAAGTGTTATCCAAGCATGCTTCTCTATTAGTTTTTTGACCTTCAAGGAGCAATTTTTCTGTTCCATCTCCATTCGTTTTACTTGCCACAAAAAAAAACAAAAACAAAAACAAAACAATACAAAAAAACAAAGTGGGTTACTAACTTACGAGCCAAAAAGTGGAGAGAATACATGAGCCACTTAGCACATTACCTCATTTTCCATCTTCTTCCTCTCAAGATTTCTCTTACTAATTTTGTGTTGAAGTTCCTGTTGCTCCCTGAGAATGCAACTAATCTGTGTATCGCGCTCCTTCATCTTTGAGTGGAAAAGATTGAGCTCAGATTAAGCCTGATCATGAGCATTTCTTACAGAAGCAATCTGCAAGAGTAAGTGGAGCAGTTATTTTTTTCTGCTGGGGAAGAAATTGAGGTGAAGTACTAACTGCAAAAACACAAATGGCTATTTACCTTGGTTTTAAGTCCATCTACTTCTGAAGTAAGATTGTTAATCTGCTGCTTCAGAGAAACTAACTGACTCTTCAAGGATGCACATTCTTGTTTGATAGCTTCCATTTCCATAAGAAGCCTCTCATTTTCATTAGCATGCTCCTACTCACAAGCATAACCAAGTTAAAAGGAACTCCAAAGTCATTATTAAGATTTTTATGAATGTAATCGATAATCGCCATCGAAGACAATTTGTATGGAATTAAAAGCACCATTTCCATGTGCTAGGTCCCTTTGTTGTCAAATCCACGAACAAACTCTGTTTTATAGAGTTATAATTTTTCCTTGTTTTTTGGCTTTCCCGCTCGAGCAGGACCATTGGCGCTCGAGCGGAATGTGTACTATCTCAGTAGTTGGGCGTGTCTGCAAAAATACTGAGAAGTGTGTTTTCGCGCTCGAGCGTGGGTTCCAGCGCTCGAGAGGAAACCTGTTTAATCACATGCGTGTTTTAGTGGATCCACTCGAGCAGACTATCCTGCGCTCGAGCGGAGTGCGCGGCCCCTGTTTTCTGTATAAATCTGTTTAAGTCTTTTTTAGAGTTAAGTTTCCTAGATCTACTTTGGAAGCTCTAGGGTTTTGTTTTGGGGCTTGTTTGCTAGTTTTCCTTGATGTTTTTTAGTAAGGTTTAATCCTATGATTTGAGATACATACATCAAGGAGTTTGTTTCTTCATATTCAAGAGTGTTTTTCTTCAGTGGAATCCGGAGATTCAAGCATGGAGCATCAAAGGAGTTTGATACTGTGCGTGGTCGTTGATTCGACAATAGAAGTTGTGGATTCAACTTCATACTAATCAATTCCGAGACGAAGGTTGTGGTGAAAGATTTACAGAAGGCTTGAAGACAAATTGGATGCGTTTGGTAATTTGTTTGTTATCTTTGTAATCTTTCTTTCTTCAGTAGTGGATTGATTATTGGCGTTTCACCTGTGGTTTTTGATCACAATTGAAGGTGTTTCAAGTGTGGTTTTTCCACGTAAAAATCGTTTGTGCCGATTTATTATTTTTCGAAAACAACAATCTAAATCACTTTCGTAAGAGCTTGATGATTTAGATTGTGAGCTTTCTTTGATTGGGAGTTGGTATAATTAAATCTTAATCTAATCACGAATCACTTAGGATTTTCACCATGCAAAATATGACAGTGTCCGTGGTGCAATTATCATCATAGTGAACAAGATAATGAGGACAAATACATGCCAAGAAAATAATTACATTATATGTATGCATGTGACTTACTAACCATAGACAGCAAATCATAAAAAGACAAGCGATTGACTGTATTTGTTCTACCCATATTTAACAAACTTCCACATTTAATTAAGTCATAAAGGTGGAAAACTTACTTTTCGAGGCTCACATTATCTAAAAATGCTATTTCTACATATCGATAACATTTAGGCATGGTAATACCTTAGAAAAAGAATTTCATATGATAATACTTCACAACAAAAATCATACTTTTGAGTTTTGATTGTCCGCTGTAAATATAATAGCTTCCCACACCCAAGCCAAGGTATTTGTCAAGTATACAGTTTCCCACAATTAATTTAAAACCACTAATTTGACCATAAGGTAAAGAAGAATTCATGACACTTATGTTGGAGACTGTTGTGTAACTACTATCTGACTGAATTAATTTTACTAGTCCAAGTTCAACTTGAAAGTGAATCAGACATGTTATTCCAGGGAGTCTCATCCTATACCACCAAACAATTGAAAAACCTAGCCCACACTTCTCCTTAAAACCCAAGTATTGAAGAAAGGGAAACTAGAGCCTTATAACTAGCACAGATGGGGCAACTTCAGGCGATGTGGAACACATTCCAACATATCCTCCTAGACCACAACATACAGTAGCCAGACAAATAACACACCAATCACAGGCCTAACCAAGCTCTAATACCATATTGAAAAGCCCAGCCCACGCTTTTCCTTAAAATCCAGATATTAAGAAGAGGGAAACTAGATCTTTATAACTAGCATAGATGGGGCAACTCCAGACGATGTCGGCCACATTTCAACACAAACCTACTCTAGTCATGATTTTCATTCAAGTAGGAGCCCATGATTGAGAGAGTGCATGAAATATTGCCTGACAATCATATTTGAAAATCGTGCAGTATTTGTAAGTATGCTTGCAGTAGAATGAAAGTTCTACCTTTCCAATTGCCTCTCGATGTGCAAATGATCAATAAGCACTCACTCGTTGGAATCGCATAAAATAGAAATATGCTTGGTAACAACATATTCTCTAAAGAAGGAGACTGTTGGTATTTTGAAATGAATGTTTAAACTTCTCCAAACAGATCCTTAAAACTTCTCAAGATCCAAGTATTATGTGTTGGAGATAAGATTATATTGTCAAAGATATCAGAATATATTAGTTGAATTTTGTAACAAGGCAATAAGGTTGAATATGGAAAGAGAAAAGAAGGAATACAAAGGTTTAACATGGTTCGGCCAATATGGCCTATATCCACACACACAAAGCCCTAAGGGGCTACATCTTTCATTCACTCAACTTATACTCTTGTTTACGTGATACACCATATATATAGAATGGAAGATATAATCAAATCCCTTCAGTTAAGGAATTGAAATAAATGAAAGACGCAAAAAATCATAATAAGCGCAAATTAATGGGATCTTCGTATATTTTGATATCTTTGACAATATAATCTTATCTCCAACACTATGGACATTCTCAAAAAAACAAAATATTTTTAAACAAAATAAGGACAATATGAGAAATCTAAAGATAAACACAGTTGATGTCACTAAATGAAATAACATCGCCTTTTCAGGTATAATGCTAGCATACACTTAGAACTCTTGACTTCTCATCTGATAGAAACAATTTGGTAACTATTTTGCTATTAATCATTGTATGCCATTGTCGCATTAAGTTTAAGGGGGAAAACATTGATACTCTAGCATTGTCAGTGTTATGTAAAAGACAAGAAGAAGGTGAGAAAATGACAGCACAATTAAACTGTTTGGCAAAACAACTAACAAATAAGAGATTATATGCAAATTTGGAGACATGTAAAAGAGATGATAAAGTAATGGTAGGAGGAGATAAAGGCACAACATCCTTATGATGAATAGAAGCTGAAGAACCATCAACGAAGCAAACAGATTGGACTATGGTAGTAGGGACTGGAGAAGAAAGAAAGAAAACCTCACCAGTCATATGACCATTAGCCCCACAATCCAGAACCCATGAGGGACAAGCAAACCCAACATGGAAAGCAGTAGATGTACCTATAGCAAGGGTGGCAGCAATGGAAGGTGATAGTCCATGAGAACGAATAAGGGATCCAAGCTGAGCCTGAAGCTAACCAATTTGAGTCTGTAACTCCTACAGGTTAGGGATAGCAAAAGGCGTAGGAGTAGGAGCAACTTCACTAAAGCTGCTATGCGAGGGGTACTAGGACCACGAGGATGAGAAGAACATTGCCTTAACTCAGGATGAAGTTTGAAGCAACGCGTCTGGACATGCCCAGAAGCGCCACAATGATGGCAAGTAATGGAACCTGAAGAACCCCGAGAGCTAGATTTGGTAGCAAAGGCCATCTGATTAGATAAAACTGGAGAGACTAAAGAAGAGGTTGGCTGAACCAAATGTCGACGATGCTCATCACTATCAATGGTAGCAAATGCCTCATAGAGGGATGGCATAGGAGAGGTGTTTAAAATCTGAGTTCGAAGATATTCAAACTCAGAGTTTAAACCCATCAAAAACTGGTAAGTGTGCTGGCGAGCAAGATGTTTGGACACAAGAGAAGCAGCAACGACTGGTAAATCAGTCAAGGGTTCATATTGAGCCAATTATTCCCAACAAGCCTTGTATCCAAAGAACTCAGACATAGAAAGGCCCAAGGTAGACTGGGAGGCACGAGCAAGATGCGAGCATCATTATGAGCATGGGTGTACATCTGGGACAAGGCATGCAAGAGGATAGGGACTGTGTTGCAATAAAGAAACATGTGATAGATACGATACCCAAAATAGTGTAATTATCAATATCCCACTAGGTCCATTTAGGGTTGGTCTCATCAGGCTAGGTAGTAGAAGGTAAGAGCCAATGAGCTTTGCTTTTACCCCCAAAATAGAATTTAAGAGAACGGCTCCAAGAAACAAAATTTTTCCTACTCAACACCACACTCGTAATGCGATGAACAAGATTGAGGTGAGAAAGAGAAAAATCAGAACTCATGGGAATAGGTTTAGTGGTCTTAGCAGAAGGAGCAACAAGAGGTGTCTCATCAGTCATGGTTATAGGTTTGAAAGATACATAAAGTCACAGCAACACAGTCCAAAAAACAAAAGCAAGAGGCCAGAAAACTCAATGGCCTATCCAATTAAATGCTACCAAATAAAGCCGGTAGCCCACTCCACAAATAGGAGAAAAAAAATGCTCAACACATTAATTAGGAGCATACAAACAAGGAAAAAGGGTATAACAAACCCTAGGGACAAAAAGATGGGTTGTCGGCTAGTGGGTAGGGGCTGGGAAGGAGTTTTAGCTGGTGGGCAAGGCCTAGGAAGGAATTTCAACTGGCTAGGAGAGGATGAGAGAGGCTGTCGGCTAATGAATGGTGGTTAGAAAAGGGTTTCAGTGGTGGCTGGTTGAGAGAAAGAAAAAGAATGGCTAGGGTTTTTTAGGCTTTGATACTAAGAAGAATGAAAGAATTAATTGGCTTTAATCTCAATTTAGGTCAATCCATGAATATATAGATCAATATGTACAAGATTAGGAAACTATACAAGATAGGAAATTACATAGAAAATGAAATAAAATCAAGGCCCAAACAATGGCCATAAAAAAGGGTCCTATTCCAGAATATTTTGTGTACTATATTTCAACATTATAAAGAACAACAAAGGATCAATCAAGTGTAACTTGCATTAAAGTATGCTGGGAAAAAAAAAAAACACCGTTGCTATCTGCATATGAAAAGACAGGAAATCCATTGTAAAAATGAGTAGGTTAAGTTGCTTGCACAAGGTTTACTGGGATGGTGGCTGGAAAGGGATTTCAGTGTTGGATGCTTGAGAGAGAGAAAAAGAGTGGCTAGGGTTTTTTAGGCTCTAATACCAAGAAGAATAAAAGAATGATTGGCTTTAATCTCAATTAAGGTCAGTCCATGAATATATAGATCAATATGTACAAGATTAGGAAACTGTACAAGATAGGAAATAACATAGAAAAAGAAATAAAATCAAGGCCCAAACAATGGCCATAAAAAAAGGGTCCTATTCTAGAATATTTTGTGTACTATATTTCAACATTATAAAGGCCAACAAAGGACCAATCAAGTGTAACTTGCATTAAAGTATGTTGAAAAAAAAAAAAAAGAACACAGTTGCTATCTGCATATGAAAAGGCAGGAAATCCATTGTAAAAATGAGTAGGTTAAGTTGCTTGCACAAGGTTTATTGGCCCGGTCCTGAGATTTCCGGGGGCCCAAAGCCAATAATCAACTAATAAATTTTGGGGGCCCTTCACATTTTTTTTTCATTAAATGAAAAAAATGAAAAAAAATGAAGATAAAAGACAAAAAAATTGTGTCAAAATCACAAAAAATACTTAGTATTACATTACAACAATTAATAAGTGTCGCTTGATCCTCGCTCTTCTTGCATTTTTAGATGCAAATAAATCAATTGTACTTGCATAATCTAATTTTTTTGCAAAATCATTTTCAATGGATAACAATGCTAATTATTTTAAATAGGCCTTTCAATTTTTTAATGGGTCAATTTGTTTTAAGTTAGTTTGGGTCTTCCTTAATTTTTTTTGGATTTAAAATATACCTAATATATTACAATAAACTATAATAGGAGGGACCCTTTTTTTGGATATATTTTTAATGGATAACAATGTTATTTTTTTTGAATGGGCCTTTCAATTTTTTAATGGGTCAATTTATTTTAAGTTAGTTTGGGCCTTCTTTATTTTTTTTTTAAACTTAAAACATACCTAATATATTACACTAAACCACAATAGAAGGGGTCCCTTTTTTGGGTCTATTTTGAGGGGCCCTAAGCCATGGCCTTGTTGGCCCATGCCCAGGGCCGGTACTGAAGGTTTACTGGGAATTGTATGATAAATGTCAGCTATTTCAACACCTACCTTGAGATCCTTGGAAGCTGACTGCACCTGAGCTTTGTCCATCTTTTTCTCTAAATCTTTGAGCTTGACATCCCGATTATTAGTGTTCTCACAGATTGATTTTTTAAGCAATGGCACTGTAGTTATACATTCTTCGTACAAAAGTTGCTTTTCATTGGCAGCAGATTTGCTTCTAAAAGCTCCTGCTCGATCCTTTTTACAAGCTCACAAAACTACAACACACCGAATAAGTAAATAAATAAAATGGTACAGGAAACAGAGAATGAGGTATCATACTGACAAATGGACTAAGCTAAACAGTACTTAAATTCCCACTTCAAGATGTTCATTATGTTCAGCCCTACTCTGGAACAGTGAGAGATCATATGACTTGAGCTCCAACTGTGCCTTGAGGTCCTTAAACTTTTTCTGTAGAGGAAGGAGCTCAGAGATCTGAACGTCATGGTGTTAAGATACAGAATACCACCAGCACTACCCACTAATTACAATTTATAATGACACAATTACACTCTATACGGCTTTTGGAATTACCATAACCTCTTAGGAACAAAATTAAAGAACAACCACGATTGTAGATATAAAATAAATAAATGACAAGATCGTTGATATTATTAAAAGAAAGAAACAAAACAAATAAAAAAGGAAAAGACTTAAGCTCAAAAAAAGTGTTTTCTATTCTTCCTTTCTTCATTCTTATCCACTTCATTCTTATTTGAGTATTTCTGTTCAGTAAGAGAGGTAATATCTAAGGTTGACCTCAGCTTCAATTTCAGATAATCTCTTCTGATGAATAAAGTTTGGATTCAGCCTCTGCCAAAGCATGAAGTTGCCTAAACAGATCACCACCACCCCTGCAAATATTAGTTGCTGATTTAGAAAGTCAGATTACCAGAAGTTAGGAATGACAACGGGCCGGGGTGGGGTCGGGGATCACCCTCCCTATCCCCAATCCCCGAAACTACCATGTTCCCCGTCCCCGGCCCCGATCCCCGGCGGGGAATCCATCAACCCTCCCAGCCCCGCCCCCTACGGGGATCGGGTTTCCCTGACCCTGGTTTATCCCCATACTCATCATTAACAACATCATTCACAATCAGCAACATCATCAAAAAAAAAAAAAATTCATCAACACATCATCAAGGTAGCAACATCATCAAAAAATAAAAAATTTAAAAAATAAAGTAGAGACAGATCTGGCGGAGGAGGGACGAATTCGGCGGTGGCGGGATCTTCTCAGATCTGCTGTGGCAGAGAGAGGAGGAGGCAGAGGAGGAGGCGAGAGGCGACGGAGTCGACGGAGGATGAGGCCGCGAGAGACGACGGAAGAGGAGGCGGCGGTGGAGGAGGCGCCGATTGCAGAGGAAAGAAAGAAAGTGAGAGAGAGAGAGATCAGAAAGTGAGAGTGAGGGTGAGAGTGAGAGAGATAGATCATGGGGGTTATGTTATATATATATGAATGGGATAGGGGGTATTATGGTAATTTTATTTTAGGGGAAAAACGGGGCCGGGGACGGGCCGGGTCTGAGGCTGTGAAAGTGATCCCCGTCCCCGGCCCGAAACTGATTGGGGATTTAATTTCAAATACCATCCCTGGCTCGTCGGGGGTATTTTTCGGGAAAAAACGCTCTTATCGGGGATGGGGGGTTGGGTCCCCGTCGGGCCGGGTTTAAATTGCCATCCCTATCAGAAGTGGACAAAAAACAATTAAAACCATCTTCTTGTGTAGAAATAATAGCAACAATGAATTTTAATTTTTAACACTCTTGTAAAAAAAACATAAATGTGTGAAGGAAGAAAAAAAAAATTAGGAAGTTTTCATAGTTCAATAAGCACATTCCAATGCATGTAGATAAGGTTTTGGCAAAGAGTAGTTAAGTAACAACTGACCAAAATTATAAATCGTTACCATTCTCAAGAATGGGCAAAATCATCAAGGATATTTGCTTACTTGCAACTTCCACCAGCCAGAAGGCCACAAGGTTGAAATATATCACCCTCGTGACTGACACTTGGGGTGCCAAATTTTATATTAAAAGCAACCTATGGACCAGTCATTAATGTGAAAATGAGATCAAGCTCAACAAGATAACAAAAAAACATTTATTCACAATTTAGACACGTACAAGATGACAAATTAATTTGGTCCAATGCCAAAAATAAGGTTTAGCTAAGTTAACACTTTTACAAATCAATAGCACAACCTTAAACCAAAGTGCATTTGTTTCTAAGATGTTTGTCAAACAGTGAATTCATTCATCAATTCTAACTTTTGAGGAAAAAATCCAACACCACATGTTCTCTGATCCTTTTTTGCAGTGTTGCTTAGTGAACTACAGCACATTTAAATCAATACGTAGAATCAACGTTGCACTCAAATATGACATGACCACAAACATAGCAGCAAAGCAACAAAAGAAAAAAATTTCATCTTCAAATGGAAAACATATGTTAGAATCATCTACAAAGGCACCTTAGGGAAAACGATTACTGAAAAGGACTTACCTCCCTCGTTGCATCAATAGTTTTGCAAACAAATGTTGAACCAAATACATATTCCATAGCACTCTGCAACACACATCAACTCTCTTTAAAAACAAAATATAACTAACCCAATCCAAAGTTCTTTTATCCAAACAAAAACAAAAACGCACGGATGCTAATAAGATTTTACCCATACATTGCTTATTTTTCTTGGCTGGATAAACATGATTCAATGATATAAATGATATACCATTAAGAAAGGCACGTGCTAGAAACATTCCAACACACACAATTGCACATGGGCAAAACATCAGATGGTCTCCAACAACACCAAACACCATCGATTCAATGAGAAACAAATGGATAGAATAGCATAAATAGCATATGTGAATTTATACATTCAGTTCCTGATCATATCCAACCAAAGGCAGAGCCACTTCTGCATTCCCCTTGCCAACCTGAAAATGTAGGATAATAACCTTTTGACAAACACAAACAAATACGGGATATATAAAAATATAAAAAAAGCCAAATAAAAAGACAAACCAATCTAACAGAAGCATTTTGCACTCAAGGAGGAACGTGATGTGATTGAATTTGGTTTAGAGGGATAATTGTAACTCTTCTTCAGAGATCGCCATTTTGAAGAAGTTGGTTTCCAGTATTTTCTGTGTCTACTATAATATTTGTTAGAATACTTATTTTGTTATTTTGTTCTTTTGTTAATATTTACTTAAGTTGAGGGTACGATGGTCATATTGTTATGTTAGGGTTTGCATATATATTTGACTGATGTAAAGTTGAGGTACTATGATTATTCAATATATATAAAATTTCTCTTTCTTCTTATTCTTCTTATTCTTCCTCCTAAATCCCAACCCTAAATTCCTTCATTTTACATTCTAACTTGGTATTAGAGTAATCTATTCTTCATCAAAAAGGTTTCTACAGTTTCTGGAGATCGATCTGAGGTGATCGAGACGTGCTAATGTCATCAGTCGTACGATGACATCAACATGACGTAAGCACTGTATGGAAGGGTTCTTCACCCCTAGACTCAAAATTGCCTCCTGAAATTTATGGCAATTTTGTGGAATTTTTTGATCATCCCTTGTGTGAGTTTTTGATTTTTGAAAGTATTTTATGTTTTTTGGGACTGTTTTTCAAATATGCTCTTGGGACTGCTTTTTGCTATTTTTCCTTACTGGAATCACTACCCTAGGAGCCAAAAATCCCATCCCTAGGGGCCCTTGATCTTAATTTGTGGTTTTGCTGCAGTTGGGTTGATGTTTTGTTCGATTATTGCCTATTTCTAGTCCAGCAGCATTGTTTTCTTCAATTCTACTTATTGCAGGTTCCTATATAAGGGTTGAAATCCTTCTAGCTAAGGATATTTGTCCTCTATTTCTTGATTTCTATTGTTGAGTTTGTGTTAGTCTAATTGGGTCCCAATTTGGTTGGCAGACCTGTGTTCTCCTCACTTTTGCCTTTTTTTGCTATGGATTTTTGTTTTTTGAGCTACTTCTGTGTCTATATTGGTGATTGTTGGTGCTGGTTGTTGTAGGTATTGGCTGTTTGCAAGTATTTTACCCCTTTCATGCTTGTGTTGAGAATTTTGTGTGATTGATCATTATGGTTGAGATTGACGCTAAGGCTATAACTATGGGTAAGGATGATGACATGCCTAAATCTATCACTACCAAGAAATTGAATGGTGCCAATTATTTGGCTTGGGCCCACGCCATCAAAATTTTCTTACATAGTAAGAAGAAGTCCCGTTTCATTAGCGAACTCCCTTCTCCTACTGATGATAAAGTTTATGATGATTGGTGTAGTGAGGTTTCATGTGTTATGGTTTGGATTTGGCATAGTCTAGAACCACATGTTGCTACTACCGTGGAATTTTGTGATACCTCTAAGGACATTTGGGACTCCCTTGGTGAGTCTTTTTCAAATTAAAGTAATTTCACTTGGATTTATGAGTTGTATGAACATATTTTTGCTATGTGCCAATCTGGCCGGTCTCTCCCTGATTATTATAGTAGTCTCAAGACTTTTTGGGTTCAATTACTACAGCATCGACCTTTCACTACTGATGTGAACAAGCACAAGCAACATTGGGAGGAGTTTATGATGGCTTCTTTACTTTCTGGCTTAGATCCTAAGTTGCGAGGGTTCAAGGATCAGATTCTTGCCAGTGAGACTCTACCTTTAGCTACCAATGCCTATTCTTGGCTGTTACGCTCTTCATTGGGACAAGTACAATCCACTTCTAGGTCTTCTATTTTATCATCTTCTGCATTCATTTCTAGTAGTGGTGATCATGGGTCTACTCACGAGGGTTTTCATGGTTCATCTAGTTCCCAGGGCTCTTATTCTGGTTCACCGGGCTCTCGTGGTGGTTTCTGTTGTGGCGGTAGCAGTGGACCTGGTTTCTGTGGTGATCACAAGTGCACTCATTGTGGTTCCCAAGGTCATACTGAATCTTGGTGTTGGCAGAAGTATGGCAAACCTGATCATGTCCATCAGGTTATGGATGTCCCATCCTTACAGTCTTCCTTGTTGTCCACTAGCTCGGATGTTTCTCTGGTTAATTCTCATAAGACACTCACTACTCAGATTAGTGAGCTTACTTTTCTTGTCCGGTCTCTCCGGCCTAGTCTACCTTCATCCTTTACTACTACCATGGCTAGTTCAGGTAATATTGCATGTGTGGCCCTCAACCTTGGCTCCTAGACTCTAGTGCTAGTTCCCATGTCTTTGGTAATTCCTCTCTTTTTGATACTCTTAGACCTGTTGATCATACCATTATACTTGTTGATGAATCTTCTCGGCCTGTTTGTGGTCAAGGTCCACTCCATCCCTTTCCTTACTTTCTGGTCTTTATGTTCCCAAATTTCCATTTAATTTGCTTTCTGTTAGCCAATTGACTTAAGCTCTCCATTGTTCGATAACCTTTTCTCCTACTTTATATGTTTTGCAGGACCTCCAGACCAAGAGGATGATTGGTTCGGGGCATGAGGAGGATGGCTTATACTTTTTGGACACTAACACCTCTCCTCATCCTCCATCTGCTGTGTTGAGTGCTAGTGTATCTCCTCTTCAGTGGCATTTTTGCTTGGGTCATCCCTCCTTGGCCAAGCTCAAGTTAGCTATTCCGAGCTCGAGTCATGTTTCTCAGATTGAGTGTGAAGCCTGCCAATTTAGGAAGCATCACCGTAGTTCTTTTCCTAGTCGTAGTGTTAGTCGTGTGTCTGAGTCGTTTGCTCTTGTCCATACAGATATTTGGGTTCCTTCAAGAACTTCCACTGTTAATGGGTTCTTTTTATTTTGTTATTTTTGTGGATGATTACTCTTGAATGACTTGGTTGTTTTTAATGAAACAAAGATCTAATTTGCCTTCCATCATCTCTAAGTTTTATAATGAAATCTTTACTCAATTTGGCAAACGTATTAAGATATTTCAGTTTGATAATGCCTTAGAATATGTGCAATCTATTGAAACTACCTTTTGTGATACTCATTTTATTATCCATCAAACTAGTTGCTCTCATATATCCCCTCAAAATGGTGTTGCAGAGCAGAAACACCGCCATTTGTTAGATGTTGCTCACACCCTGATGTTTAATATGCATGTCCCCAAACAATTTTGGGGCGATGCAGTTCTCACCGCTTGTTTGCTTATCAATCGCATGCCCTCTAGTGTTGTACACACATCTCCCTATTCTCTGTTATATCCCACAACATCTCATTTTTCCTTGCCTCCTTGCATTTTTGGTTGTGTGGCCTTTGTCCATGTTCTTGACCCTGGTTTGGATAGGTTATCTCCTCGAGCACGCAAGAGGGTGTTCTTAGGTTATTCTTGCACTCAAAAAGGGTATCGGTGTTATCATCTTGAGTCTCGTCGCTACTTTGTCAGTGCTGATGTAACTTTTTTTTAGTCTACTCCGTTTTTTTCTGCCTCTGGGCAACAGTTATCTACTGATCTTCTCTCTTCTCGTGAGGGGGAGCCAGCCTCTCTCACTCCAGGTTATCTCCTCGAGCACGCAAGTGGGTGTTCTTAGGTTATTCTTGCACTCAGAAAGGGTATCGGTGTTATCATCTTGAGTCATGTCGCTACTTTGCCAGTGCTGATGTTACTTTTTTTGAGTTTACTCCTTCTTTTTTTTTTTCCATTGGGCAACAGTTATCTCTTGATCTTCTCTCTTCTCGTGAGAGGGAGCCAGCCTCTCTCACTCCTACTCTTCCCTCTTATGCTCCTTCCACATCCACTCTTATATCCTCTCCATCTCCTCTCACTTCTACTCCTCCTTTGCAGAACGGTCTCAAGCTCATCGCATTGTGTCTTATGGCCCGACCAGTTCATCTCCTTCGTCTGAGGCCTTTGTCCCACCTACTGATTTGCCATTTGATGACCTTCCTATTTCACTCCGCAAAGGTACACAAACTTGCACTCAACATTCTATTGCTCATTTCATTTCTTATGATCGCCTCTCTCCTGGTCCTCACTCTTTTGCTTGTAGCTTGTCTAGTATTTCCATTCCCCTCACCTATCAACAGGCTATGTCCATCTCTGGTTGGAAGAATGCCATGGATGAGGAAATACATGCTCTTCATCAGAATCAAACGTGGGAAATTACCTCTCTGCCGTCTGGCAAATCTATTGTGGGTTGTCATTGGATTTATACTGTTAAGTATCTTCCTGATGGCACTGTTGAGTGGCTTAAGGCTCGCCTGGTAGCTAAAGGCTACACTCAGACCTATGGTGTTAATTACTTGGAGACCTTGTCTCCTGTGGCTCGTCTTAATTCTGTTTGGATTCTTCTCTCTATTGTAGTTAATCAATCTTGGCCTTTATATCAACTTGATATCAAGAATGCCTTTCTCCATGGTGATCTCCAAGAGGAGGTCTATATGGATCAGTCCCTTGGCTATGTTGTTCCCAGCCAAGAGCATCTTGTTTGTAGAATGCGAAAGGCCTTGTATGGTTTTAAGCAGTCCCCTCATGCTTGGTTTGATCGCTTCAGTGCTGTTGTGCTTGCCTATGGATTTCACCGTTCCACCTTTGATCACTCTATTTTTGTTCGCCACTCGTCTGTTAAGAGTATTGTTCTTATTGTCTATGTGGATGACATTATCATTTCAAGGAGTGACTTCAATGGTATTGCTAATTTGAAGCAATATTTGGGATAACAATTTCACACCAAAGACTTGGGCCATCTTCGGTATTTTCTTGGGATTGAAGTTGCCCGTTCTTCTTAGGGCTTGTTTCTTTCTTAACGGAAGTATGTTCTTGATCTTCTTACTGAGACTGGCCTCTTAGGCACTCGCCCCAGTGATACTCCCATGGATTCTAGCGTCAAGCTTGATGGTGACACTGGTGACTTATTTCCCGATATTGGTCGTTATCGTCGGTTGGTTGGGAAGTTAATATATCTCACTGTCACTCGTCCCGACATTACCTATGTCGTGGGTGTGGTCAGTCAATTTACGCATGCTCCCCGTCAACCTCATTTTGTGGCTGTGTATCGTATCTTGCAATACTTAAAGTGTGCTCCAGGCCGGGGTTTGCTTTATCGCCCATCTTTCTCTTTGTCTATTACTGGCTTCAGTGATGCTGATTGGGTTGATAATAAGACTGACCGCCGTTCCACCTCAGACTATTGCACTTTTGTTGGTGGTAATCTTGTTACTTGGCATAGCAAGAAACAGACTGTTTTTGCTCGTTCTAGTGCCAAGGTTGAGTAACGTGCGATGACTCGTACTGCTTTTGAGATGCTTTGGGTTCAGTCTCTTCTCCAAGATTTTGGCTTTTTTATTCCCACTCCTATGACCATGTCTTGTGACAATCAGGCCGCTATCTTCATTGCCAATAATCTTGTGTTTAAGGAACACACCAAACATATCAAAGTTGATTGCCATTTTATTCGAGATCTCTTACTCCGCAAACAACTTGTGACTCCTTATGTTCATTCTGAGGATCAATTGGGTGATATTCTAACCATGCCTTTGGCTCGACCTTCGTTTCATCGTTTATCCGTCAAGCTGGGCATGTTCGATCTCTATGCTCCAGCTTGAGGAGGAGTGTTAGAATACTTATTTTGTTATTTTGTTCTTTTGTTAATATTTACTTAAGTTGAGGGTACGATGGTCATATTGCTATGTTAGGGTTTGTATATATATTTGATTGATGTAAAGTTAAGGTACTATGATTATTCAATATATATATAAAATTTCTCTTTCTTCTCATTCTTCTTTTCTTCCTCCTAAATCCCAACCCTAAATTCTTTCATTTTACATTCTAACTATATTAAACAATTTTCCTCTGCAGCAACCTGAGAATGAACTGAGTGTAAGAGTCCAGTTATGATTATGTTTAGAACATGTCAAAACCTGGCAACATATTATACCATTTCTAAAATAAACCAAGTATATGGCATCATGCAAGGCCAACCTCTAAGGCAGTCATTGTGGAGCAATCCTTCACTTTAATAAGTTTAGCAACCACACCTTTAACCCTAGTCCTATCAAAATTCTTCATGGGATCATGGTATGTGAAATCCACATTAGCCAATTGTGCCAAAAGAATTCGAATTTTATCCTTTAACTTTTGCACTGGCTCCAACTCAGCTGCACGATCCTAAAGAACAATTTAATATTTACAACTCACAATTTACAATACACAGAAGAATTTTAACCAAACTGAAAACTCATGCCATCTGACGTAGAATTTGTAGCAGAACCACCATTGG